TTAGATATAATTTTCTCTTTGAAAAATAGAGCAATGCATAAATAGATCTTCAATTAAAAAGACATATATTGGTTCAAAATTTAATATTTTCAACCAACTTTTCAGTTGGCTGAACGCCAACCTTTTTTCAAAGTATTGTAGCATATTAATGTTCGTAATGTTTTTTTGTTGTTTACGAACCTCAATATGTTATAATACCTTGAAAAGGTTTGGCCTTAAACTAAAATAGTGTTCAAATAAATTGTTTTTTAGAATAAATGCCTTTTTAATTAAAAATATAATTATCTCAAAAACAAATTAGGCATATCCTGATCACTAACATGAGCGTTTCTAGATGGCAGAGCGCCATCTAGTGGAACAGAAATTAACTGAACATTGATATAGCCTGTTCCTTGAAATTTGTCCAACCTATTTTCATTATAAATCAAGAAAAGCCAACTACGAAATTTTCAAAATATATTTTCATATAATTATCTCTATATCAAACGACGTAATATTTTAATATTCAACCTCCATATACAGATTTTCAATATATAAAAGCAAGACTTTGTAAAATTATATATTATATATAAAGTTATTTTTCTCTAAACATTTAATAATTTTATTTTACCTAATTACTTTTTCATAAATTAAAAAAACGCTTGGTGAAAAAATATCCTGTTAATTAGTTTTATCTGGGGAGAAAAATCAGCAAAAATTTATAATTTAATTATCAAAGATTTTGTTTTCGACTAATTTTTCAAAATGTTAACGTTAATAATTTTTTATATATTCAAAGTATGAAATTAAATAGTTGTGTCCAATTTACATTTTATAAATAAATTATATTTTATTGAAATTGATTTTATAATTAATAGCATTGATGCTGAAAATTAGCTGTGATTCAATTTTAAATTATAATATATGTAAATGAATCCATATGTGCTGATTTTTCTGTTTTTATTTTTAAGAATAAAAACTCGTGAATATCTAAATCTGAAAAACATTATAAAAAATAAAAAATAAGTAGGTCAGGTGTTGATATTAAAAATAAAGAAAGCTTTTCCTGACCAGGAGCACATGTACTTTACAAAAGGAATAGCACCATCTGGTGAAACAGAATTCAACCAAACATTGATTTAGCCTGTACCCTGATATTTGGCCAACCCAATATATAATTATTTGTAGGTTGTACACATACTCTACGCTAATGAGCGCCAACAGCGCGAAACGCTTTCGTGGATGACTTTTCTCGATTTATCAAGAATTCAAGTTGGCCAAATATCAGGGAACAGGTTAAATCAATGTTTGGTTGATTTCTGTTCCACCAGATGACGCTCTGCCTTCTGTAAGACACATGTGCTCCTGCTCAGGATATGCTTTCTATATTTTTAATATGTAAATATGTATATTTACTTCAGACAAATGGGAGGGTATGCAAATATAAGAGAATATATATAAATGGTTTGTGTGCTGAAATTTTCGTTGTATTGTCTAAATAAAGGTTTATCCTTTAAGGTGTGTAAGATTTTGAGGCATCCAATAAGAGAAACACTACAATATATATCAATAAAGTAGATTCATTTTCCACGGTTCCATTCATCAACCTCTTATAAGAGAATGATCATCATATTTATATGTACTTTATCTATTTACGAGAGGAACAATATTCCAATGTCTTTATTATTTGAATGTACTCCTGAATGTACATCCGCGAGCCACATGTGGTTCTTTGGATGTGAAGCTGCGTCTCTTTATATAGTTCAATACGTAAATATTATTTATGCGAGTACTATTTATTGTTGACAAGAAAATATTTTGTGGCTCTTTAAAAAACATTGAAATTTTGTAATATGTAGTTTTTGACTCTTCCAACTCAAAAGATTGCGTTATGATATTTTTCCCCCGTCTGATCTCCAATTTCCTGTTGGATGTTATTGTCAAATATTATTATTATTCTATGATTGTAATAATCTGTGACTTAAAATCTGTGGTGTCATGAATATATATATATATTGGTGAGAGTTAATAGAGAAGTGAATGGTTAGAGAGAGATGTCATTTTATTAGTAATGTTTACTTAGATATATTTAGTAATTAGTTTCGTATTTTTGTACCTTCAATAAAGAATATTTATATTTTAGAAGAGAAGTAATTATTGGGTTCCACCACTAACAGTTTCAACATGGTCCTATTTTCAACCAACAAATGGTCTATGGCACTCTAGGTCTCTTGGTATTTACATTTTAAATAATAATAATGATCCTTTTTCCAGAGCGCACGCAAGCACAAATGACACAAGAAATCAATTTTAAAATGCAAAGAAAAATGGCGAATAAAATGAAACCTTTTCAAAATATTTCTATAATATTTACATACGTAGCTGAAAAATCGTGTTTTTCTTACACTATTCACTTTAAGTAGGCCATCATTAAATATATATATATATATATATATATATATATTTATATATGTTTTATAAAAATTTTTTCAAATATATTTCATAGATTAAATGATTATGTTAAAACGTCCCTCAGAGGTCGCAGTTTTCACTATAAACTCTATTGTTGTTGTTTCCTGATGGCCGGCTAAAACCTTTGTAATTATTTGAAAAATCTTATATATTCCTTCACCTCAATTAAAGCTATTTTTGATAGATATTTTTATTAATATTATTTAATTATTACCAGGACTGCAGAAAAATATTACATACTCATTGATTTCAAGATCAAGCAAATGCTCGACAATATTCTCTATTCTCAAAATAATCAAGCAACAGCTAATAATTCTGTATATTCCGAAATATTCCAAAATCAGCACAAAATCTCACACACATTTTTTATAACATATATATATACTGAAACTAAGCGCTATTCTTTTGGCAGGAAGGTAGCCTTTGTCTAAAAAAAGGTAGTGGATTCTAAGTTGATTTTTTTATATTCAAATAAGGTTACACACCTATAAAAATTTATAACTTATATTATCTAAATTATATTTAAATTAATTTCATAATATCTAATACAATTTACCTTATAATTAGATCTCATATATTTGCATAATATATTAATGAATAACTACACATATTCTGCTTAGTTATTAAATACTACACTTCAATTAACTATTCTGAAAAAAAGGTCAAAGAAATTATATATTGCATATTATATTTTAATTTGAGTTTATATTATTTATAAAATTAATTTAACCGTTTTATTTGATATTAATAAAAATTAAAATGTATTAATCAAAATGAATATAAAATAGAAACACACATAAACACAAATATTCTATTGATGTTATGTGGCGTTCGGGCTGTTGTTGACACACATTAAAATGTTATAATACCTTGATAAAGGTTGGCGTTCAGTCAACTGTAATATTGATAAAATAAATTATATTTTGGTCAGATAAATGCCATTTCGGTTAAAAATACAAATATATCATAGAATATAAATATTTTATAATGATATAAGAATCAAAATAAATGGAATTTATTTTATTTAAAAATGGAAACTGTTAAATTAATTTTAAAATATAATAAATCAAATAAAAACAATATTATTTAAATATTTTTGGAGCTTTTTTTAGAATAAATAATTGGAGAGTATTATATTATAACTAAGCAGAGAAAGGTGTAGGTATTATTGAATATAATATGCAAATATATATGCAATTTTTGAGGTAAAACTTGTTAAACGTCGTTCTATAATAATTATCGCATTATATCGTATTTTAATTAGCATATAATAAGGTGAATAAATAATGTATAATAGGGATAGGAATGTTGTTTAAGAGAGATAGGAGAGATTGAGATTGAAACTGATTTATTACAACGTCTATATAAGATTAAATACAAAATTAAATAAATACGAATAAATATATGAATAAATAGATATGAATATATAAAATAATTAAGAAATATACGTATATATATATAATATATATTGAGGTTAATAAATAATGTATAATATGGGTAGAAATGTTGTTTAAGAGAGAGAGAGAGATAGAAGGAATTTGGGAGCATCTATCTACATAACTTAACGTAATCATCGTTAATTGACCTAATTAATGATTGTGTGCTTGATAATTAGGCTCCTCTCAGATATATATTTAGGCCTTCATTTGACATTGCACACATCAAGACACAATAATGGGATGTGGACACCTCAGATAACTACGTATCCCCAGATGCCCGTTACTTCCAGATAGGAGCGTTTTACTCCGATCTGGGCCTACGCGATAACCTCGCTTGGATTGAGTCTAGCGCCTCTCTACACCGACAAAATATATCTTCTGCTTTTTTTATACCTTACTTTTCTCATTTTTTCTTTCATAATTATTATATATAACATACAGGGTAGCTCATAATTCTCGAACCCTTTTATTTTTTAAATTAAAAATTAAAAGGCAAAATAGAATTAAAAAACACTAAAACTATTTTATTTTAGGTGGTTTTTAATTAAAAATATTTTTTTTCGGGACTTATAGGCAACCCTGTATATATTATTTCTACAATCCTATTTTCTCTATAGAGTTAATTTTAAAATATAAATTTAAAACCTAATTTGATTTTTAAATAAATAATGAATTTTCAAATAATTATGTAACAGGTTTAGTGAACAAATATATTTTTCAACAAAAGTAATTGATCTTTCTAGATTATATCAAATAAAATCATATTTTTATTTCTAATTGTTCGAAAATTTATACGATTCATACGTTTCAAGAAAAATAGGATAGTCTAATGAGAGTTGCATATTATTTGCTATAATATTTATAGTAAAGTAAACTTATTCCTTGAATCCTGATGTTTTCACTTTAAACGGATGAATCCTCTGCATCAAAATAGATCTCCATAGAACATTTCTATATAGACAATACTTAAAATTATACCGCATAAGTTTCTTTTCTACGAAAAATCAATATTTATTTTAAAGAGAAATATTTACTATTTCTAACTTTTTTTTGAATGAAGTATGAGAGGGTGAAAATATGAAGAGTAATGGCGAACGGGAAAAATAAAAGTGTCCAGGGGCGGGAATCGAACCCACAACCTTCTGCTTACCGGGCAGGTGCCATGTCCACTAGGCTACCCTGTACGTTATTTCTCCGTTCGTAAATAATACTTAAAGTAACTTATAATACATTATAAAGGACTGCGGCGTGTGATTATAAACAATACTTAAAATTATAACGCATAAGTTTCTTTTCTACGAAAAATCAATATTTATTTTAAAGAGAAATATTTACTATTTCTAACTTTTTTTTTGAATGAAGTATGAGAGGGTGAAAATATGAAGAGTAATGGCGAACGGGAAAATAAAAGTGTCCAGGGGCGGGAATCGAACCCACAACCTTCTGCTTACCGGAAAGGGTATTTACAAAAAAAAAAAAAAGTTTGAAATAGTAAATATTTCTCTTTAAAATAAATATTGATTTTTCATAGAAAAGAAACTTATGCGGTATAATTTTAAGTATTGTTTATAATCACACGCCGCAGTCCTTTATAATGTATTATAAGTTACTTTAAGTATTATTTACGAACGGAGAAATAACGTCCAGGGTAGCCTAGTGGACATGGCACCTGCCCGGTAAGCAGAAGGTTGTGGGTTCGATTCCCGCCCCTGGACACTTTTATTTTTACCGTTCGCCATTACTCTTCATATTTCCACCTTCTCATTCTTCATTCAAAAAAAAAAAGTTAGAAATAGTAAATATTTCTCTTTAAAATAAATATTGATTTTTCGTAGATAAGAAACTTATGCGGTATAATTTTAAGTATTGTTTATAATCACACGCCGCAGTCCTTTATAATGTATTTCTATATAGAATTAGTAGAGTAATTAAAAATTGAATTAGAAAGACGAAATAGCTAACAATAGATACAAGGGAGGATCAATAAATAAGGTGAATTATCTTATTTCTTAAAAATTAAAAAGGCAAAAATAATTTAAACCACAGAATATTAAAACATAACATTGAGAGACTATTTACGGTGTTCTGTTCTTTTTTCCCAGCTCCCTTGAAGGATTGCATCACGCTTGAACAACGTGCAGTTATCCGTTTCTTGAATGCAGAAGGTATTCAAACATCTCAAATATGCCAAAGAATGAAAAATATCTATGGTGAGTCTTGTTTGTCTCAAAAAAACATTTATAAATGGGTTAACGAGTTCAAAAATGAACGAATTCCACATTTCTTTAATTTGGACCAAAACCTTACCGTATTCGGGTTTCAAAGGCCGCATACATCATGTAAAACTGTATCTAAATTCATTACATTAGCTTTTGAAGTTTTAGAACATCCTGCATAGTCCAGACCTAGCCCCCTCTGACTATTTCCTTTTTGGACTACTAAAGAAGAAGTTAAAGGGAAAGCGATTTGACTCGGATGAAGATGTCCAGAAAGTGGTGCAAGATTTTTTTCACACGCTTCCTAAGAGTGCCTATAAAGAGGGTATTTACAAGTTGCCAGAACGATGGAGACGATGCATATAGAAAGCCAAGGTGATTATTTTGAATAAATCAAGTCCTAATTTTTAATATTGTTCTTATTTTTTAAAATGAATTATAATTCACCTTATTTATTGTTCCCACCTTGTATTAATAAAAAGTAATAATACAAACGCACTTAATTTTAAAACATTCTGGTGATAATTGAATATGAAAAGTTAAATATGAAGCAAAAAAAAAGGGAAAATTGAATAAATGCAATATATATATAACTACTAATACACATGAATACCGGAAATGTGGTATATAGATTGCTAAGTATAGTTCAAAATCTATGGAGAATATTGCTTGAAGTATTATACTTAAAAACTCTGGTAGTTTATTTTCTATATGGATATGTGTGTGATGATACTGAAATTAGATAACTGAAATATGATTGAGAGAGAGTAGAGAGATAAACATTATATTGACTTTTGAAAGCCTTTTGCTTGTAAAAATTATAAACAAAACAATTTGATGATGATAAATATAAAATTAAAATTTTAAATAAAGAATCTACAATTTGAAAATTGAATAAATAAAAAGATAAATACACCTATTAATATAATATAAAGAATAAAAATAGGTGTGATACATGAAATAAAAAATAACGAAAATGTTGGTATAAAAATCGCTATGTATATAGTTCAGTATCTTTGAAGGAGATATATGGATAATATATATATATGTATGTCTAAAAACTATTAGTTATTTTGAAAACTGTGTTTATGTTAAAAGCGTTCTTCAATTGATAGTCAGTAAAATATATTTAAAAAATATATATCTTCAATAGATATATATTGGGGAACCTAAAAAACGAATGTGAAGAAACTTTTTAGAAAATGTATATTCTGAATATAAATTTGTATGAGTGAATAATTATTTTAAGTTAACAATAAAATACGATATAAGATACATATACCTGGGATATGGTATGAAGAATATCAAAATATATATTTAAAATATGATTATACTGGCAAAACCCCTGGGAAAGTTCACCACTGATGAGCCCCGCTTTCCAAATAATCTCTCCATTGTAGTAAGTGCAGTAGAAATTGTTTAATTTAAAAAAGAAGCATACGCGTCTATAATAGTTTGGAATTTTTATAACAGATGGCGCGCTAGTGTATCATAGTATCTAATTTATTTAGTATTTATATTGGTTTATTGGTAATATATGTCTATGACCACAGAAAAATTCGAATTATTCAAATATCCGTATTATAGAGGAGCTAATATCAAAAAAGGTATTTATTTAAAATAAAATATATTATTCATTATAACGAACAGGTTTTTCAAATTAAAAAAATAATTTGCTCTGTACTTTGAAATTATAATTATTTAAGAAAAGTTTTAAAAATTAATTCTCTCGCTCTTTTTGTTTATAATTTAAATAATAATGAATTTACTATGAAATAAAAGATAATTCTGAAAATTACAAAATTTCACAATGTGTACTTCTATAACAATCTTCTAACATAAATCTTTTCTTTGACATAAAAATAACAAAATAAGATTGAATCGATTTGGAAGGATTTTACGAAGATATTTCTGAAGATAATTGTTCGAAGATAAATATTTGCTCCCAGGAATATTCTGTGTACACAATTCGGCAGGGGGTGTTTTTAAAACATTAATTTCAATAACACCTCCGCTTACTATTGTGTGAAACCTGGGGCTATTGTATTAACGAGTAATAAAAATCTTTATTAGTTTGTTTACCTAGTTTTTTTATAACAAATTTAATACTTATATATTTTAGTTGAATAAAACTTAAGATTTTTAATGCAGATTTTTATATAATTTTTATGGTATCAGTGATTAAATGTGAATAAATTCACTAATAAATATATTATAATGATGAATCATAAATATACTTTCAGGAGATCAGTTTATTGATATATATTTGGCATTAAGGTTATTTAAAATCAAAATAGGTCCTAAATGGCGGGAAAAAAATATATATATACTTTATATTAAAAGATATAAGTCAAATACTAAGAAAATAAAGCGGTTCAAATCATTTTCATAAAGGTTGCCCTATATTATCTCAGGTTGGATATCTATAATAAGAATATTAGCGAAATGGATTAAAAATTGAATGAAGAAAAGAGACATTATATGCAAATATGGAGTTAAAAGCATATATGAGATGCCAGATGATATATAAAATTCGAAAAATTAGGAATCTGTTTTTTTTTTTTTATTTCATATAATGTAATTAGAATTGCATAAATCTATACCAATGGAAATAGCAAAAACAAAAAATAAAAAGGTGTATTGATGAAATGGTTAATAGAGGAATCTTTAATCAAAATTTACATTTAAAGCGCTTGAACAGGCAATGTGTATATGTTTATAGAATACATACATTGAAGCAAGAGAGACAAGTATTATAGAATTAAGAAAAGAACACCAACATGTGTGTGTCCATCTAGTATATATATATATTATATAAAGAAATGTGATTTGATTTTCTGCTTGTGTATTTATGATAATCTTGGGGATTATGCTATGGAGTTATTTGTTGGTTCTTTTTAGTACAAAATGGTATTGGTGATGCAGTCGTGGCAATAATAATAATAGTCTTGATCAGAGGTTTCTTTAATTGAGCTAAGTATAATATATAAAATACATAATTTGGTAAAAGTACTGCCTGGCTTAAGTCGTAAGAATAAAAATGAAAAGCTTATTTACATAATGTACAAAGGTTTGAGCCGGCTATTGGGATAAAACAATAACGAGTTTTTATAGGGGAAGAGTGACCTCTGGCGGTCGATTTAGCAGAGTATTTGATTCTATGAAATTATAATTTAAAATAAATAATATTTTTATATAACATATATATGTGGTGACCGTTGTTATAGAGCGACTAAAGAATGAATATTGACGTAAATATAAATTTGGATTCGCTATTTTGATTAAAGATTATGTGCTGCCAAAAAGAAACTCTGAAAAAAAAAAGAAACTCTGAATGACTTTTTAATTTTAAAACTAGTTGAGACCAAAGTATACAATATACATGGGTAAAAATCTAGAATTTGTAAAATTTTGTGTGTGAGGACATAAAATAAATGATAAAAGAACACTCTGTACAGACAACAGTTTATAGTAAGCTTATAGACAAAAGTGTGTATCGCAATCAAATTACAATAGTCACGTTACATTACAAAATAAACGCATAGGAAGACAGAGCTATATAGCTTATATATGTATAGATAAATATATTATAAAGAGGAGAAGAGGTTTAAAAGGGATAACGCAGGCCGTTAGGGACTTTAAGTTGTACTATCAGTAGATGCTTTTCACCTATATAATTTATAAATCCGATTCCACTACAATTTCACTTTTACTTTTTCATATATTTGATTCATTTTAAAGTATTATTACATAAAAATATTTATAGCACATACATATTTGATAATACAATAAAAATTATTCAAACGTATCTAATAAAGAAATGTAAATAAATAACTATTTAAATATATTCTATTTATTCAAAATTAGCTATCCTGTTAGCTTAAACAAACATTAAAATCATATCAATTTATATAGTTTAATATTAATATAGTTTAGTATAGTTTTAACTACCCTTTATTTAATCCTTCA